GCCGCCCAGCACCACCGAGCCCTCCTTTTTGGTCAAGGTGCTCTTGACTGACATCCGGAAAATAGCCATGGACTTCCTCCTGCATGAGAAGATCTGGATTGACAAGTTTGACTACGCAGAAAGAAAATTCTAGTAGCACGTGAACCGGCCTGTGAGCGCTTCTCACACCGGGAGAACCGCACCAGGTGATCCTCCGCGATATTGCCAGAGCCATAGGAAACATCCAGAAATCCCTGGCTGGAAGCACAGGCCCTGAGGCCTGCAGAGGGCCAGGTGGAAAGCACAGTGAGCTGGACAGGCACATCGCAGACTGGAAAAGGAGAACCAGGGCCTGTGAGGTTTGGTGCAGGCCCTGCAGTGGGCCATCTCCAAGCTGGAGGCCCCGCTGAGTGTGCTGGAGAACTTGCCTGCCCACTGGGTCACAGCCCCGCAGACCTAGAATGTGTCTCCCTACACTAAGTGAAGCCCACCACCAAAGAGGCGGACTAGACTGTGGAGGATGACCACATGGACCTGTCCGGCACTGAGGAGGAGGAGGAGGAGGAGGAGGAGGAGGTGAAGCCTGTACTGGAGGAAGTCCCGCATCCTCCTGGATGTCAAACCCTGGGATGAGGAGCCCAGCATGGCCCAGCTAGAGACCTGTGAGTGCTCCATGCATCTGCACAGGCTGACCTGTGGCGGGCTTCAGGCCGGCGCCTATGGGATATGGCATCCACAATCCAGTGTGTGGTGGAGGACGACAAGGTGGGTACGGACCTACTGGAAGAGGAGATCGCCGCGTTTGAGGAGCACGTGCAGAGCGTGGATACAGCTGTTTTCAATGCTAAGTGTCAGTGCTGGGAGTGAGAATGTGAACTTGCAACCACTAAAGACTGAAATTCCGGGCCTCCCCTGGTGGTGCAGCGGTTGAGCGCTGGGCTGCGAAGCTGCCCGCAGCCTCTGCTGCCCCGGTTCGATCCCCTGCCGCCGGCGAGGGTCCCACATGGCGCGCAGACCTCTCCTGCCGCCCGCTGCTCCCCTCAGCAGTGTACTTCAGTCCTTCTGCCTGCTCTGCTCCCCGCTCTGGCTCTGGTGAATTCTCTCACCCTCCCGCGCTTCTGACTGTACCCAGTGCTTGTATAAATAAATAAATCTTAAAAAAAAAAAAAAGACTGAGATTCCACCTTTGCCCCCAACACCCACCAAAATACCTTTCCCGTACAAAAGTATGGCAGATTGTCATACAAGAGGAAGAAAATTTTCCTACTACCTTCTGAGTTCTTGGCTGATATCCACTATAGTAAAAGACAATTTAATAGGAAAAAACAAACAAACAAACAAAAACAAAAAAACAGCAGCTTAATATGTTTACCTCCTGTATAAGGCAGAGATCCAGGAAAACTGAGTAACTTGCCAAAATTACCACACCATAACCTAATACCTTCAGTGAAAGACAAAAGATATTGGGTGGTGGTAGGAGGGAATAGAGCCAGTTATAAACTATTAATAAGGAAGAACCCACTAAACATGGCTATGGTTGCTATACAGATTAATGGTTGTTATACATATTTAGGTGGTTCCCTTCTCTATACATAGGATTTTCTAGAGATTTAGTAATCTAAAGACTCTTGTACAGGCAGGGCGACACCCCTACAAATAAATATTTCCTTTATAAATGTAAATTTTCCCTCAAAAAGGAATTTATTTTTAGCATAAAATGATGCACTTTTACTCTGTAGTTTTTATATAATTTATTTTTTAAAATTTATGTCTTTTACATCATTGTGTATTCCTCATAAAATTTCCACCACCCATTCACCTGTGAACCATCACCACAGTCCTTTGTGCTCTTCTCTCCCATTTTTATCCTTTTTCCTCCCCTTCCCTCGCAGAATGTCTCTTATTTGTGGTTGCCTGCTAGTTTTGTATTATTATTATTGTTATTGTTATTTTTTTCCTGATGCCTTATTTGGCTTCCCTATATTCCTCCTATAAGTGAAACCATTCAATATTTTTCTTTTTCCTTCTGGTTTATTTCACTGAGCATGGTCCCTTCAAGCTCTGTCCATTTTGCTCTGAATGGTATGAGTTTATCTTTTTCGATTGCTGAATAGTATTCCATTGTCTATATGTACCACATCTTCTTGATCCAGTCATCTATTTTTGGACATTTGGGTTGTTTCCATAGCTACATATTGTGAATAGTGCTGCAATAAACATAGGGATGCAGGTATCTTTTTGAATTAAATTTTTTGTGTCCTTTGGATAGATTCCTAGGAGTGGAATTGCTGGGTCATATGGTAGCTCCATTTTTAGTAGTTTGAGGAAACTCCAGACAGCTTTCTACAGTGATTAGACTAGTTTGCACTCCCACTAGCAATGTAGGAGAGTTCCTTTTTCTCCACATCCTCAGCAACATTTGTTGTTGCCTGCTTTTATAATGTGTGCCAGTCTCACTGGTGTAAAGTGTTATCCCATTGTGGTTTGATTTGCATTTCCCTGATTATAGGGGATGTTGGACATTTTTTCATATGCCTGTTGGCCATTTGCATTTCCTCTTTGGAGAAGTGTCTTTTTAGCTTTTCTGTCCATTTTTTGACTGGATTGTTTACTTTGTTTTGTTGAGTCATGTGAGCTCTTTGTAGATTTTTGTGATCAGTCAAAAAAGGGAATTTAAACTTGAAAATTTGGGCCTCCCTCGTGGCACAAGGGGTTAGGATGCAACCTATGAAGCTATCCGCAGCCACTGCTACAGGAGTTTGATCCTTGTCCCAGGATATACTCACATGGCGCAGCAGACTTCCCCTGACTTGCCCACTGCTCCCCTCAGCAGTGTATTTCAGTCAGTCTGCCCGTTCTGTTCCCCACTCTGTCTCTGGTAAGTCCTCTCACCCCCCCCACACCTCTGGCCTGTACCCCAGCTCTTGAATGCAAAAATAAATAAATGTTTTAAAAAAATAAACTTGAAAATTTATCTCTATTTTCAGAGATCTTCCTTGTCTGCAATCTCTCAAAAATAATCATCCCCAAATAACTTTTATGCCTAAGAAGTGTATTTTGGAATCGCATATTCATTTCCCCTTCATTCTCCTTATCAGGTCATTAAGTTTAACTATTTATTATTATTTATCATACTATGTACCTGACAATTTCAAAGTAGCTTTAGGTAAAGCTTGATCCTGTTGCTCTATCCAATCCCAATAGATGAAACCTATTTCTTTTTGTTTCTCTGCTATCTTTTTTTATGTTGTTTGTCATTTTTAAGACTTTCTCCCCTTATAATCCCAGGACAATTTTAGTCAGTACTCAGATAAACATGCTTCTTTTTTTTTTTTTTTTTTTGATGTACAGCAGGAAAAAAAAGGTGAACATCTTTATCCCATTATTCCCATCAAAACTACTGATATTCACTCTGATTACATTGGCCTCAGTCACATTCTTACCCTTGAGCCAAACTGTGGCTAGGGAATGATCTTATTGACTTCGAATGTAGCTTTTCTTTCTAAATATATCAAAGTCAAATACATGTGTAGGCCAGGCAGGGAATATAAATGACAAATATTGGCCTTCTGGGGACTTTAGAATAGTGGACTGTCCATGTCCAATACAAAGGGCTCAGGCCCTACTCAGATCCAGGAAACTAATGCCACAATAGGAGAAACCAGTTTTAGTAGGTATTATGATTTCTTAAGAGATGTTGGAAATCCAAATTTTTATATGAAGTTCCATAACCTGCTAACATTGATATCTAATTCCAAACTTTATAAATAATGAAGGGGTGTAGAGGAAATTTACCTCTACCCTTCTGGGTTCTTCTTGGGTTAGTTGAATAATGAAATTAACATCAGATTAATTGGTTGGAGAAAAGAATAATTTAATTCCCTGTGTGTGGAGAGTTCACATGAATATAGATTCTAAAGTGAATGGAGAAAAATGATGGTATATATCCTGAGTAATAAATGGGGTAGAGGCCTGTCCTTCAAGGGGAAAAGAGGGGGATTCACATGATGAAGAAAGGGTGATTCATGATGAAAACCAAATGTCTTACAATTACATGTGTGTCCTGCCATCATATAGATATGTTTTTCTGATGGGTTATTTCTGGTTAAAAAATATATATGCATGTGTGTGTGTATTTTATATAAATTATATATATATGTGTATATATATATATATATATATATATATATATATATATATAATTCTGGTTCTGGGTAATACCTTCAAATTTCATTCATGTAGGTAGTAGTGAAGGGAGAAGTAAATGTTTCCCTTGACACTGCAGGCCCATGACTGACCTCAATTTGAAATAATGTATATGCCAAAGTGACATGTCTTGGGGAGGCCTGTTCTGGATTTTTTGGGGAAGGTCTCTTTGAACATATTGGGGATGTCTATCCTTCAATACTATACCACATGCCTATGAAAAGCATCTGTAAGCCAAATTCAGATGATCAGGATGCAACTTCTGCCCTAAATAAGAGAATGCAATGATTTGCTGATACAATGATTCTGGTCCAATGGATGGTTTTCTTTCTCATTGTCCATTAATCAATTGGCATTTGGGTTTCCTATTTTAGTTTCTGCGAGCTTGCTTAATGTGAATCCTTCCCTGAGGGATAGATCCTATCTTAGTGCTTCAACTAAACAAAATTTCTAAACCTACAAGGGTGAAAATTGAACACAGATAGCAATGAAACCACTAAAGTTATCTTCTCAAGATCATGAAAAACATCCCAGTATCTCGCCTGTAATCAATGAGTCATTTGCACCTTTCCATTTGATTTGTAATGCCCTTCCTTAAAACAAAACAAAAATAACAACAACAACAACAAAAAAAAACCCACTATATTATGAAAGACTCCTATCAGGTTCCCTTTTATGATGTATTATTTTTTATATAGTATATCTGTGTCGGGGGGAGAACTTTCCCTTTACCTTATTAAGTTCTTGGTTGAACTCTGCCCTCCCACCCCCTGTAATAAAAAGGAAGATTAATAGGAAAATCAAAAGCAATTTTAATCACATATGTGGTAATGCACCACTAAATGGCACCCAGGGATTCCAAACTGTGAAGGGTGCATATTCTAAAAGGGATCCAGCCACCTGCAAAGGAAGCACACTCTTAGATTTTTTATAGAATTAGTGTGGAGAGAAAGGGGGTGGGGAAGAGGAAAGAGAAAAAATAGGAGGAGAAGAGGAAGGGGGAGGAAGAGCAGGAATTGATTTTAAATAACAGCAAACTCTTAAAATTTCCCATCCCCTTGTGCGCAAATGCCCAGCCAAACAGGCTTGGCCTGAAGTTGGACCACTGAGACCCAAAAGCTTGCCACAAGCCTAAGATGCCTTCTGGCAAAGAAGCACAAGACAGGTCCCAGATAGTTGTGACAGGAGAGAGAAGATGCAAAATATATCACATAATCCAACATGAAGCCAAGATAATGGCTGTCATTGTCTTTGCCAGAAACCAAGAGCAGATTCCACATGTCTCTCACCCATGGGTCCCTTTTCCAAGTCTCTCCTCCAAGTATCTCTACATGTCTCTCTTCCATGCGTCTCCTCCAAGTATCATCTTCCAACATCACCAGGTGTAAGTGAGAGCCAAAAAAAGAAGAGAGAACCAAACTTACCTGCCTTCCTTTCTCTATAGGTCCACGGGGCCACTCTGCTCTGCCCCTAGTTTCCAGTAGTTCTATTACAGGGCAGGAAGAGGGGCACTCCAGAATCCCAAAACTGGCCACTCAAACTGGCCACCGCATCAAGACAAAACATACTCTAGTGTGTGAGCTCTTTAATGGAAAGGAATTTAATGCAATTGGTGTGCAACAAAGAAAAGACAAAGAATAAAGTTTCCATATCAGGCACCCGAGGTTACCCTTCCCCTCCCAGATAAATGCCCAGCCAAACAGGCTGGACCAAACCTGGGCCACTGAGGTCCGAAAGCCTGCCACAAGTCTAAGGCACCTCCTGGTGGGGACACACAGGAAAGGGGCAGAAGGGGCCAGACAAGTCTGGAAGGAAAAGAGCAAAATCAAAATCAAGATAAATGCTGCCATTTTTAACCTCCCCATGGGTCTCTCACCCATGTCTATTTCAACCAGTCTAAGACCAAGAAGCAAGTGCAACTTCTTCCTATGTCTCTGTTCCATGTGCCTCCTCCTGTCTTCTTCTTGCTTCCTTCTTTCTCCAGTCTGTTCTCCAGCTTCTTTTTCCTGGGGAGCACCCTCTTACAGTTCCACTGTTTGGGAAGTCTGGTTTGTGGTATACTGGGGTTTATAATCTAAATTGTCTTGTAAATAGGTGTTTCCCCTTCATGGAAGTGTATCTGTAGCATGTGCACATCTATGTGCACTGGAGCCCCACAAAGATGATGGACTCAAAAGACAGCAGGAGACTGAGGCTCACCTACATTCTTGGGCTAAAGAAAGGGATAGGGGTCTAGGTCTTCAAAGAGGGGAAGGCAATTCGCAACAAATTGGGAAGAGGAAATATGTGGTAAACAAAGGTTGACCAGGCATGTAAATCAGTCTCTCAGGTGAAAAAGTAATCACTGGTTATAACTCTCTTCCAGCTGCAGGCTCCCTTTCTAATGTAAATTTCTCTTACAGAAGGGCAACTTCTACTCTGTTTACAGAGCTTCTCCTGTGTCTGCAGTTGCATGAAATAATCAGCTCAAAATAATCCTTATGCCAAAGAGGCATATTTCGGGGCAGCATATTCATTCAATCAAATCAAATCACTCGATTCATAAATTTATTTACCTTCAATTTCTGAGAAATATAAAAATTGCAAGTTATTCCTCACGGTTAATTTCTCCTTCCTAAGTAAAACATGGTAATGTGCTATTTGGAGATATTTTTTATTGCAAGAATCAGAAGCCCAATGAAAATGAAACTAACCAAAAAAGGAGAATGTGTTGACTCATACCTGTGAAGTCAAAGAAGGGCTTCAATTAGCTCCAGGCACAGCTAGATTCAGAAGTTCTGACTCTTTCTAAGTGACTTCTGTTTGCTTTCAATCTCACACAGTTCCCCTTGACAGAGGCAGGAGTGGCACGTGCACCAGCAGCCACCCCAGACCTGCATACGGTGATTTCAGCACCAGTACCTTGGTCTGATTTCAATCACGTGGTAACCCTGGGACCAAGCATTGGAACCAGAGAGATGGAATATTCTGATTGGCTAGACCTGTCTATGACCGTCCCTGTGTCATAAAGCCACCATTATGACCAGGGTGGGATTAAGTCATATAAACTCTGTTTTTCCATAGGAATGATGAGTTTACTCCCAAGTAAAGGAGGCAAAAGTTGAGGGACAGACAAAAGGAACAGAGGTCCATACAGCAATTCACAGCTTTCAGCATTAATCTTTTATCTACTTCAGATGAAAACACTATTCAGCTGATGAAGAAGACAGTCAAATATATTCTATATTAAACTCACATTAAAACACAATGAAAGCAAATCTTCTATGGTAATGTGAACTTCCTTGGAAAGTACAGTACTATTTTATATAAAACACAAAAATGGAAGACACCCAGCAAGGATTCAGGCCATCCATCAAGTGGTATATTTTAAGCCCTTACTCTGCATTTCTGCTTTTTAGCCCAGTCTTGCTTGAGTCTCAAATTATGCCACTTATGCCACATTTCTTAACTTAATAATTCTGCCAGTTAGTACATTTTTGACTGATTTAACACCATTCCACAGTCCACAGTAAAGTGAACTATCAAGAAACTATAAAGGGACCAAGAGGGAAAATGTAGGTGCTATGCACGGATCCTTATGTTACAGGCTCCAACTGAAAAAGTGGGTCCTTTGTCCTCCAGGTAAAGAATTCACCAGAGAGCACTAAGTGAAGTTGAACCAGGCAAGGTTTTATTAAAGACTCACATCTGATGGAGCCAGTGTGGGAAAGGAGACTTTATCCCAGATCCTCGAAGGCTGTGAGGAGTTATTTGATGGGTAGTTCCAAAAGGGACGGAGGAGAGCAGCTTCCTCTGGGTTAAGCTATGTCCAGGCATGCACAGACAGGTTACATTCCAACTGCCCGTGCAGCTTCTAGGCCTTCTCCCTCCAAGAAATTGTGAGAAAATCATGAGTCAGGATCCAATGCTTTTTGTCTATCGTGGCACCTCATGGTCTGTGTGGCGAGCCAAATGTTTGGATAGGGCTCTTGGGTCTATGATTTAGTCTACCTGTTCAAACAGGACGTAGGGCAACTCATCCTACTGGCGTGCAACTTCTTATATTAGACTGTCTGTCTCACTTGCAAAAATATGACTAAAATTCTGATGGACTAAAGTTACAGACAGTTATGCTGTGATCACAGTTTTTAGTGAGTGGGTTCTGTCAGTCACTCATAGGTTAATGGCTAAATCATCAGGGAGGAGAAGAGGGTAGTTCTGGTCATTTCTCCAACATCCAGGTATCCTCAAGCATCACTGATAAGTTTGGGATTTGGGGGCAGTAGTTAGCATCACTAATGGGGTGAAAGGTACCTCCAAATATGACTTTGTGGCATAAGGATTATTTAGGGTTGATTATTTTTGTGAGGTTGCATGTTCCTATTGACTTCCTCTAGATGTCCACAGTAGGCTTTTCACGAAATTTGTCAACTTCCATGTATAGAACTAATATAAATAGAAGTCCTGTGGACGTCAAGAAAAACTGTTTACGGTTACCTTCACTATGTAGTAGAATGAAGATTACTCAGATTTAGGGTCCTATTCAGAAATAACCTTTATTTCAGAGAAACCCATCCTAAGACTAGCAAATATCTAAAGGCCAGGTTTTGTTATATGGAGTCAGCCTCTTCTTATCATGTATTACCCCCCTCTTCTTTACTTGAAGCCCCAGATCCCTCTCCCATTACTTAACATAGGATATATACCCCCATTTTGCCTCATTGACTTTTGAATCTACATATCTATATAGATCCCCTGTGTGTAAATAATTAAATTTATGTTTTCTATTAATTGGTATGCTATTAATTTGATTATTCAACCAGTCTGAGGAGAAACCTGAGGGGTAGGGAGAAAGTTTTTCTCTTCCTGACACCTACCATAACAAGTTCCTTCCCATTGAGTTTTTTTGCCTTTAGCTGAAGACGGTATTAAAAGTGATGGCTTGGGCCATTTCAAGTAGTTACTCAGTTTTCCTGGGCATCACTCACGTATCCAGGAGGTATATATTTTTTAGACTTATGTTTTCCTCTTGTTAGTCTTTTATTGGGTTGGGGGTGGGGAATCTCAGTCAAGAAACTTGAAGAGGAGAGGGAAAATTATTTTCCTTGCCTATGGAGTCACTATTTTGGTAAACTGAGGACCATGGGTGGTGTTCCTCTTTCCTTCAAGAGCACTTTATTTAGGATCCACAGTGCTCTTTTGAAGTGGTCACCGTCCTTGCTCCCAGTGTTAATGTGTTAAGACATTGTGTATATCAATGTGCTTACTTGATCCCTTTCTTGTTTTACGGGAGGGACACTTCCTTGTATATTCTGAGACATCTGGGAATCCGGAGTTGGGAGGGGCACAAAATGGGCACTGAAGACAAATTTTACAATTGGTCAGTATTTTTTTTTTTAAGATTTATTTATGTATGCATACAAGAACTGTGGTACAGGCCAGAGGTGTGGAGGATGAGAGGATTCACCAGAAACAGAGTGGGGAACGGAACAGGTAGACTGACTGAAATTCACTGCTGAGGGGAGAAGCAGGCTAGACAGGAGAGGTCTGCTGCGCCATGTGGGTAGCTTTCTGGCCTGCTGGGGGATTGAACTCATGCTGCAGTGGCTGCGGATAGCTTCATAGTGCTGGGTCATAACCCCTTATGCCACGAGGGAGGCCCCTACAATTGGTCAGTTTGCCAAGATCTGAAAAAGACACCAGAGTGATGTTCAGGCTCTTTTGGTTAAGGGACAGATCAGTTTATCATATTTAGGGCAGACGTTGGATACAATAGGCAGAGTAGGAACACTTATGTTGAGTTATGTGGAATGAAAATATGGTCAATTACATTCTCTTCATGTCTACTTTTCCCTCCTTGGTGTTATTTAACAAATTTCTCCTCCTCTTATTAGTATCCAATTCAATCCTTTGGAAACTGTTATCACACCCCTGCTTAGTGATCACTTAGCAAAGCCACATTTTAAATTCCTTTCATCTTTTCTTGTAAATCAATCCCTTTCTTCGATGAATCTTCTTGTTCCCTCATTGCTGGATGCCTATGTATGCCTTAGTTTTTTTTCCTGTCTTTTTCCTTTTGTACCTCTTTTTGGTATTAATATACTCCAGTTAAATGCAGTGCTTACTTCCAGGCTATAATCTCACTTTTCAGGCCTGGGGCAGATTAAAATCTTTACATTCTCCTTCCACTGTTTTTGTTCACCTTTTTTTAGGGTGTGTGTGTGTGTGCTGTGGCACTTTTTTTTTTTTTTTAAGATTTATGCATACAAGAGCTGGGGTACAGGCCAGAGGTGTGAGAGGCTTCACCAGAGACAAAGAGAGGAACAGAACAGGCAGACTGACCGAAGTACACTGCTGAGGAGAGCAGTGGGCTAGACAGAAGAAGTCTGCTGCACCATGTGGTTTGCTCCCTGGCGGCCCGAGGATCGAACTCATGCTACAGAGGCTGCGGACAGCTTTCATAGGTTGTATCTTAACCCCTTGCGCCACCAGAGAGGCCCTCATCTTTTTTTATTATAGAAAGATTATATGGGTGGATTTTGTCATCTTCAATAATGCTATAACATAACCCTGGTTCTCAAATTTTATTGTGAATAAAATAACATATAGAAGTTTCTCATAATGTAATATTCTGAGTCCTAGTCCCCTGATTTAAGTAGTGATTCATTAGTTATCTTATCCCCCTGCCCTCTTCACCCCCTTTCTAGTGGGTGATCATAGGTGATTCTAGTGCAGTAGGGATTTCATCCTGAGAGACACTGCTATATAGGCATTAGGGGAGACAGACACCATTTTCACTGATTGCGTATGCAAGTGTTTTGTGAAAGCACAAGATGATTTCAGGTGGCCCAGAAGCTATACTATATAGATATTAAATAATACTGAACCTCACAGTGGGGAAGTTTTCCATTCAAATTCCTTTTTAGTTCCACTTTGGTGCAAGTTTGTTTTGATCCTGATCTCTGACATGTTCTTTTGAAATCTTTACCAATGAGAAAGTAAGTCTCACAACTAGGAGTCTCTGCTAAGCACCAATATTTATGAAAATTTTAAGAACATTATTTTGTTTCCATTACTTTTACTTTTATTCTTGACTTCGATTTATGACAAATGATGCTGGCTCTTATCTAAAGTAATGAGATTACGCTCCTTGTCAAATCACTAAATAAAAACAATATAAGTTAAAAAATATTAAGTAAATAATAATGACGATGGAAGGTGTATAAAGCATAAATTGTGAAGGAAGGTTTTGGTAGTATACTATTTCTTGTTTTTTAATTTTTTTAATTTTATATATTTTTTACATCATTTTTCATTTTTGCACAATGTATGCATTTTCATCTTGGTTATAGTCCCCATACAATTCCCACCCCCCCACCTTGCTCACCTTTACAAAGTCCATTATAACAGTATATACTACCACCTCCCCTCACACACACACACACACTACGGGGTTGGGGGGGGGGGAGAGACGGTAGTATACTGTTATAATGGACTTTGTAAAGGTGAGTCACAGAAATCTCAATCGTGAGAAATATTGCTGTAGGGTAAGTGAAAAAGTGTCAGGTTTTTCTGACCTCCCGCCATTAGGATAGATGATGGATCCCTGCAGTGCTGAATGCATGCCTGATGGCGGGCGCCTGGAGTGTGGTGTGGGCATAGGTGGGTGGGTACATCTGAGCTGAGACTGGGGCTTATAAGGTTGGCATCACAGGGACACTGGAGAAATGGAACCAGCAGAAAGAGAATGAAAGAAAGAGAAGCAGAAGTGAGAAGGAGACCAGGAGAGAAGGCCAGAGAGCCCAGAAAGAGTGAAGACTCGCAGGCGGCTGCGAGGCCTGCCAGCCTCCCGCCACCCCCAGCACCCCTGCCTGCCGTGTATCTGGTAAAATCCCAATAAAAGCCTGAAAAGCCACTGAGGGCTCCAGTGCATAGGATGATAGAGATCCTGATCTATGCCTTCCCACCCCTA